CCAGAGATAAACTTGTTCCAATGCATTTTGATTTAAAATTAGTTCTAACATGACTGAATCTGAACACCTCCATTTCTGCTTACTGCCTTTTAAAAGCTGGTATGATTTTAACAGAGCAAAAACTTAGCAAAATGTAATAAATCAATATTTTCCTGCACAGATTTTGTGAATAACCTACACAATATTTTATGTCACACAATCCTACATAAACTAACTGATAGTAGGGCTATATTTCCAGGGTTTAATAATTCCATATACTATAAATAGACATATATAATTGTGGTCTTATTCATAAAATATTCCAAATTCATTTCTCTATATTAATAGTTATATCTGGTTATTATTGCATAATATATAAAAACTATCGTAGCAGGTCAATTATTGACAATAACTAATTTTTGTAAAGCTGATATTCATGAAGCCAATACAATTAATGGAAATTTTATAAGAACATGGAAGGCGACTGTATCTGCAGTTTCCCAGGTGATGTAGAATTATCATTTCTTGGGGTTTGTAGATTAACTGTTATTTATTAACTAGTGACAAACTGATAACTCTATGGGCAGAGTCCATTTTTTCTATAGATTATAGCCTCATTTGTCCAGTTCATGAGGTTTTATGGCCTGCTTCAAAATGTATGCATATCATGTTGTCCTTACAAATTACTTCTCATGCAGAAATTATAGAAAGCAAACAAAATCTTGGGTTTTTCCAAAGGACAGAACAAATTGTCTGAGGAGTCTCAAGTAATTAAAGGTCTCTCTAGAGCTAAAACTGTTTTCAATGATGACTCTGGGGAGCCTGTACTGTACTACTATTGATTGCAATGGTTCTAATCTTACTATGAGAAAGAGGATTTTAGACACAGTGGTAGCTAGCTAATCTTAGGGTTTTATGTGACTAACCAACATGGAACTATGAGTGCCAACTACATGAAATCAGTAGCAATAGTGAAGTCCCCAGAGGACTTCCTGGAGTCTCTGTCACTTCTCCCAGTATATGGTCTGAATTCTTCAGAGATCAGTTTCTTGGTTTGATTTGGTAGGGGTTTAGTGGTTGAAGGGAGTTATCAGAATTTTGAAGGCCATATGTCTACTGCAGGCCTTTGATGGTCTAGGTGTGTCAGCATAACCCCCTACTGTAGGGCTGTGTCTACACTGCACCCGTTTTCCGGAAAAGGGATGCAGATGAGACAAGTCAGAATTGCAAATGAAGAGGGGGATTTAAACATCCCCCGCTTCATTTGTATAAACATGGCTGCCACTTTTTTCCGGCTCCGGGCTTTGCTGGGGGAAAACACCAGTCTAGACAGGGATCTTTCAGAAAATAAAGCCTTTTCCGA